AGTACAGGGAAGGGAAAATTACAATGCTGTGTACAGACGCGGTAACAAACATGGTAGTGACATGATGAGCTATAATGAATAAAACTTCATGAAGAGTTTGGTCTGATCTTTTCATTCTTCACTTCAACAACAGGAAGAGATGCCCATACCTGATTTCCATCAAGCAGAACTTCAGGTGGCTAAAAAACAAACTATACTGACTGCAAAGCATGGATGTGTTTGCTGCAAAGAAGGGCACCACTGCTAGTAAACTCATTTCTCTCTGTTATAGTCTGATCCGCAACACGCTCCATCCGACAAACCCACTCACTAGCTTGTGTTTCTTGGAAATTTTGCGAAGCGATATATAAGCAGTGAGTAGGCGTGCTGTGTTAGAACGGTTAACGGGCCATAATGCTCTCCGAGCTACTAATTTAAAAAAATAGACCATTTAGTTTACTGAGAATGGAAATTCAGTCAACTCTTCTAACAAACTATAAGCTCAAAGCACAGGAGGAACAACCATGCTAGTGAAGCTCTTACAAGATGTTCGAGATCAGCTACTTTTGCTTCACGGAGGCTCCATTCTCTAACCATGTAGTCTTTGCCATTATCTCCCAGCAGACGAGTATCACAAACGCTGAACTAGGCTGTTTAAACGATTACATATACATCATGCAAGACTAAACTAACCGGACCAAAACCCTGTCTATACGCAGATAAAACCGCATGAGCACAAAAAAGAAATTGGGCATAACGCGAAGACGAACAGACATCTGTGATAATAAGTGAAAACCAAAAATTAGCTCGCAAATAGACATAAATGTCGATATCCAACCTGGGCTGTGCCATGATCGGCTAGTTCATCTTCATACAGCGTCACTTGAGCATAGAATCCTATTGGTTCTTGACGCTTCAGCCTCTCCACATCAATCATTTCGTCACTAGCCTCCACCTGCAACATACGAATGAGAATCATCTGGTAGATAGATAATGTCCCAATACTCACACTACAATTCTGAACACTTCCTGCATATCTGGATGTGAATGTCCAATCAAACGGATTTGCCATTTTTTCTGTTATTCCCTGTCTTGCTTCTTGCCACACTGACGATGGAGCAACCTTAAAAAGAAAGTGAAAAACATTATCCCCACTCGCACTCTAATGATATTTAATCGTGATGAATCACTATACAGCCAACTATTGATTCAAAAAAGCGGAACGAAAATAAAGAGAAACGTTTCAAATTGTCAGTGCTCTATTACACTGATTCTTCGGTATTCTGAAAAACATTTCTAGCTAACGGCAAGACGTAAAAGAAAAAACACA